CCAAAGTTTCGTTCAAAACGTTTCGCAGCCCCCCAAGAAATTTGAAAACATGGTTCGCAAAAAAAAACTCGGCCAAACGTTTCGGCCAAACGTTTTTGGGACCCAAACCCTTAACAATTTCTATAAACCCCTAAACCCTAAACCGCACATCACAGGAATCGTCTTCGTGTTTGCAAGTTCTTCTTTGCATAAGCTGTCGCGCAGTAGCACTAGGCCACGGTAAATCTTCAGCCGGACACAGTTGCCACGCATCTTTTGTCAGTCGGGATCATGCGCCTTCCTCGGACCATTCTCCAGAGTATGCATCTTCACTGAGATCCTTCGACACATGCCTTGGGCCTGCATCCAGCTCCGACCACTGACCGGAATACCCTGATTCCAGAACCTGGCTGCACTTTCAAAGCTCCCCTGTTTACGCTTTTGACGAAGCTCCCTTAACAAAAAAACTACACCCAACCCCAGATGCTCAGAAACCCTGATCCTAAGACTCCGAAAGTAAAAAATCCTCCCACACTCGGCTGAGAAGCAGATGCTTCCTCCAATGGCTGGAGAAACCTTGTTATGTGAGAAAGTCAGGGTTGTGTTCACACATAAGGCTTCATGGCACTTCACGGACCCTGAAATGAGGGAAGTCAACATGGTGCCCTAGCACGCAGTAACCGCCCCCAATTTCAGAAACACCCAGGACTAAACTACCGGATTAACAACACTTGGTAAACATGGAAAAATGAAAATGCCTTTACTTTGCATTCCTGCCTGGATTGTGAGGAATCGATGACCTTGCTGTCTTCGGACACCGTGATCCTGCGTCGCAGTGTGAGCGCCCCCCAAACTGGGGACCCATTGCTCAAGGATTTAGGGTGCATCTATGAACAACTAGGTTTTCTGTGTAGAACCATGGAACTGGTATACAGGGCTCTCACCCTTATAAGGATCATTTAATCATCTGGTCCCTAAGTGCCAACTCGCAGCTTGTTGGAGCTTTCAGAGCTGCTCGCGCGGAGCGGACCCCGCTGATCTGCCTCAGCTTTCTATCGGCTTCAAAGTTTGCAAAGCTAAGGGGTTGAAGGTTAAGGGTGAAGGTGTTCTGTTGTTGGAGGTTTAGAGCTTATACAAGCTATAAAGCTGAATTGTGTGGTGCGGGGTTTAAGGATAGCTCAGAAGTACATACGCCTGGAAAACTTCAAACATTCCGTATCAACGGGTATATACACCCACCCCTTTCAATTACAGAACAGCTCAAGTCTGTAAACTTCACTGCTAAGCTGCATGATCTGAGGAGGCATGGCTGTGCGCCAGATCTTCACTCACGGCAATGCCGGACTTTGGGGCAGAAACGGAGCTCTTGCCTTCCTCTTCCGTCTCCGCGTAGCTGGCTTCGTATTCTGCGATGTCCTCATCCGAGGATATCGGCTTCGTGCCCCACGGAAACTCAGCCACCTCTGGGGTTCAGGCTCTAGAGGCTTTATTTGGGGTTGAGGGTCAGAGCCTTGTACAAGCTTCTATAGGACTCAGAGCTGATGGTGCTTCGTTTATGGCTGTTATACGGCTGGGGGCTTGTAGCGTTTCGGTCGGTTTCTTAGGGTTTTGGGAGTCCGCCTCATCTGGTCGGATCTCGATCGAAGCAGGATCTGGCAGGAACTTGCTTTCGGGAGAGCTAGCAGGATCTTGGAAGTCCACTGCAAATGGCAACAGCGTCCTTGAGTTTTTTGGGGAGTCAAGACCCAGCTGCTCGGCGGTCGGCGGATCCGACTTCGACACATCGTCCGTTGCTATGTGAGCAGCTGCTTCTTTGGCAGCTGTGGCACCCTGTACGGCTTGGTCGGGATGGTCCTCTGACCCTGCTTCCTCCGAAGCCGACGCTGGATCCTCGGAGTAGCTACGCGAGTCATCACCAAGTCCAAGTTCCTCCGCCGTCGCCCTCTCCGCATCCGCAGCTTCGGCATCTGAAGCTCCTTGCACGGCTTGGTCGGAATGGTCCTCTGCTCCTGCTGCCGTCGAGAATGCCCCGTCTTCCGATGGATCCTCAGAGTAGCTACGCGAGTCATCACCAAGTCCAAGTTCCTCGGCCGTCGGCCGATCTAACTTCGGGACCTCGTCTGTGCCTCTCTCCGCATCCGCAGCTTCGGCATCTGAAGCTCCTTGCACGACTTGGTGTGGATGGTCCTCTGCTCCTGCTGCCCTCGAGAATGCCCCGTCTTCCGATGGCGACGCTGGATTCTGGGAGTAGCTACGCGAGTCATCACCAAGTCCAAGTTCCTCCGCCGTCGGCCGATCTGTGCCTCTCTCTGCATCCGCAGCTTCGGCATCTGAAGTACCTTGCACGACTTGGTCGGGATGGTCCTCTGCTCCTGCTGCCCTCGACAATGCCGCGTCCTCCGAAGGTGTTGCTTGATCCTCGGAGTAGCTGCGGGAACCATCATGGCCATCGCCAGAACAAAGCTCTCCGGCTAACGGACGACCCACCGAGTTTGATGCCTGACTCTTCTCTGCCGCAGACTCAACTTCGGCAGCTGAGGTATTGCTCGCATCGCAACCAGCTTCTTCTGCAAACCTGGTACGAGGCTGTGTTGGGGAAGCGGAATCGGCGAATCGGCTGTTGCACTTTCTAGGCACGGTTCGCCTTCACCTCCAACGGCTTGATCCTTCGAGGAGCTCTCCCCGAGACCAAGTTCCGCAGCTGTCGGACTTTCTGGCTTTGGCACCTCCTCGGTCTTGGCCTTCGCTTTCTCATCAGCTGCTTCTTTGGCAGCGGAAACATCCGCAGGCGATGTTGGCTGACTCGTCTCCGCTGACCCGGGCTGCTTGCTTTGCCAACCTCTCCGGTAGAGTCGCCATCACCTGCGGCACTGCTGCTTGCATCTAGGGCATGTTTTGGCTAGATTACTATAGAATTATGACGGCCATGATCGGTACATGTCATGCTTCTGTCGGTCAGTTTGTCGTTGAAGAATAATATAGGCTTACGGCTTTCGGGTTCAGGGGCTCTGCAATACCGGCACTCCTTGCTGCGCCCCGGCGGTGAGAAGTACCACGCCGTTTCCAAGAGCTTCCGCCGTGTTTTCAGCGGATGCCAGTGGCTGATCTTTGTCCGCCTGGGCAGAAGTCAAGAGAGAAAAAGGGCCGCCAAGCTCGTGTCCTTGAGTTATATCAAAGGAAACTCCCCACAAGAAAAAAAGCACATCCCACAGTCAAACCTGCAAAAAAAAATGTCTCACTGGCGGAGCTCAGTGGCAACCTCAGCCTCTTTGGAAACTTCCTGGTGCTTCGGGCTCTCCAGATCCTTCCAGGCGATGAAGAGACTCTAATTGCTGAGCCCTGGAACTTTCCAGTATCTGATGCCCCAAACCCTGAACCCTATAGGCCTATAGGCCTTAGAACAGAGCCGTTAAAGCCCAAACCTTCAGGCCTAAAAACTTGTTTTCCCCTGAAGCCTCCCCTACAAACCCCGAACTCTAAAACCTTGGAGAACCCCAACCCTGAAAGACCCTCATAGAATCCTTATACAAACCACCAAGTGACATCCTACGGAACCCTTTAACATCTAAATCGGACCTGCTGCTTAGCTGGCGAACAGATCTTTCGTGAATTCCCTTGTCGGGCCTGAGGCTCCTCGTGTAGCTTTCCGCTGGCCTCAGGTTTCGGGTCTGCACAAGATTACTTTGGGTCATGTGGGTTCAGGGTTTGGGGAGTTCGGGTTTAGAGTTTTGGGTTTAGGGATTGGGATGTTGCCGCTGGGTAAACTTCAGTCGAAGCCGGCCGCTGCATCTTCTCAGAAACCCACCGGTTTTGAGCACATCTGGCACTGACCCAATCCACCTACAGCTGCAAGGCCCACAAGGTCGCGGCACTGCCAACGCCAGACTCTTTGGACCTCGGTACTATTGGGGCCTTAACAGTTATAATAGGTATTTGGGCCCATTATACTATATTCATAAAAAGGAACCCCCCCCAAAACAGTATTTGTAGTTATTTAGTATTGGGTCTATAATTAGTACATCTCAGCAAGGCTTAGATTGAGATTGTTACTGTTTCGGTTGCTATAAGTCTAGTGTTGTTCCTCTGGTCTCTTCTACCGGCGTAGTACATATTGCTGGTTACAGTTGTTGCTATTCTGCTGCTGCTACCATGACACCACATGTACTAATCTTGTTGTGATGACGACTGGCTGTTCTCGTAGCATAAGTACTACTGTTCCCACTCCCTGCTCGTGGAGCACGAGTAGAAGCTTTAGAAGGTCCTCAGAGTGCAGGGTGCAAGGATATTTGGGCTTTAGCGTGACTTAGGATGTCGGGTGTACCACCGTCATCCTGTCAGCACTCCAAGGTGCCAAAAGAGGGCTCCGCACCATGCCACAACACTTGTTGGACCTACTTATGGTGCAAAGAGTGATCGTGCAAGCACCCATCGTGTTCATGCATAACTTAAAGAGGCGGTGATTCTGCCCGTGACATTTGGTGACTTAGCACAGTAACCAGGGTCGTCCCTGCCGTAGCAATTACTGAGCAGCTTATCTGGCGCTACCGGGTATTAGCAATCTCACATGAAGCAGATCACTAGTCGTCACAATGATGCTTGTGATAAGACCGTGGCCTTGCGTGCACAAGCCAGGAACATAGGCAGCCTGCCAGCAAGACTGTGACTAACTGCAAGCCCAGTTCTTTGTGCTGTTCCCATGTATTGGGCACGTACTGACCGCTGTGGTCGGCTTGGCGGTACTTGCCAGAACCCCATCTAGCGCAAACAAGAAAATGGACAAAGAGTAAGAAGCTGTACAGCGGTTTTTGCTGGGAGTTATGACAAAGCAAAACCCGACAGTGATGCGCAAGGAAACTTAGCATAACTTAGCAACAGACACGTGCATCAGCTCGCACACGTTGAGGAACAGTTCCGAACCCAGGAGATTCCCGGATGAGCCACAAACAAGCTTCTTTTGCCCCTGGGTCTGCTGCTTCTGCCCACTTCGCTCTCGCTCCTTTGCCTGCATGAGTCGTTTGAACGGTTGAGCAAGTTGACTTGGCCTACGAGTATGTATCGCCTGAGATCGCCTCAGTGGCAGCAGCAGCAGCAACCACGAGCAGCAGCTACTGATAAATTTCCTGGCAGTGGCAACAGCAGCTAGCGGCAACCCCTAAGTTTGTCGGGTACGCCCTTCCCCTGCCCGTAGCAGCATCTACTGAATTTTACTTCTTGTAGGCCCTGGCCCGGGCTCTGGCAGAAGCAACAGCAGCAGCCAGGAGCAGCAAAAACGATCAGCAGTTACAGACTTCTTGTTGCTATGCCTGGAAAGTTTCTTCTCACACTGTGGCTCTTTTGGGTCTAACAACCCGAACCATAACCCAGATCCCAGACGAGCCGAAACCCACAAGCCAACGAACCCGGAAGTCAACCAAGAACCCAGAACCACCGCCCGAATCCGAATCCAGAACCCGAAACAAGAGGCCATCATCAGAAGCAACAGCCCAAAAGCGGCAGCAACGAACAACAACTAGCGAATCTTCTGGTACGCACTAGAGCTGGCCCTCACATGCGCCCTCGCACCAGCAGCAACAAGCAGCAACCACCGACCTTCTTTTGTGGTGCACCGCCCTGGGCTGGTTTTTTAGCGTGCAGAAGCAAGCAGCAACTACCAGCTTCTTTCTGGTTCGCTGTGGCCCTCTTGAATGCAGAAGCAGGCAACAGCAGGACTACTCCATAACTTGCCTGCTATGCTGAGACGTGGTCTGCATCGTCATCCGTCACTTATTTCACCAGCCTTTGTAGGGGGTGACCCTGCATCACCGGCAAGGTACCGTTGAAAGGAACAGAAAGCGCCGCCTCGTGGCTTTGGAGCACCAGTCGGAATGCAGAGATTTGTGCCTCCACAGGCTGAAGTAAGCGGCGGTACCTGAGGCTTTTTCTGTGGATTTCATCGTTGAGGTCTACGGGATTAGACACTGTCAAAGACTCCGCAGAGATCCAAGCAACACGCACGATACCAGATGGCTAAGTGCCTTTAATCTTTCAGCCGGCCGTGGGATAAAACAAAACTCAGTCGAAGATTCAACAAGTCTGCATAAGTCATCGGGCCGCTCGGACTCATCATGTGCGCTCATCTTCAACTCGCCCAGCCGGTGTGCATATGCCTCATCTGCCATCTGCTGGGCCTTCAAGCGAGCGTGTGGAACGTGCTGAGTGGCTACCCATCTTTCTATAACTCGAGATACAGGTTTCGGTGGCGAAAGACCATGGCCTTCTTGTACCATTCTTCTGACACCTCATTTTTCTGCTCCTCCGTGAGCATCACAAGCTCCTGCCCTACAGCGGTAGGGCCGGCGCGGCCACCAATGCCAGCCTCAAAAATCATGAGCAAAATGAACAACCTGCTAATGGTAGATCAGAGACTCAGCGAAGTTGGGAGATACTGGGGGCCTTCGAGAGTATCGATGGACTATTTCTTGCATGTTTGTGTTTTCTGATGCGAAACATCCCACCTCAAACACAAAAGACCTAACGAGCCTGCTGAATGTGTCGGAGCTATGACATATGAACGGTGAAGAACTCTGGAAATCTGCAACCATCGATCTGGCGAATTAGCGTCTGGAGCGCCGTGCCCGCCCGGGGGGCTGTTACAAGCCTAGCGTTTTGGGCCGTTCCCATTTGGTCCCTCCTAGTTCGTAGTAATGCTGAACAGTGTATCAAGCAGGGAAGCGCGCGTCTTGCCTGTGTAATTTTAGCCCTTCAAAGCCGCAGCTTGACATACCTTGACATCCTGCTAACCGCCAGTATCCACAGCTGTTCAGCCAAGCTGCGAGCATCCGCTGCATGTGACCGACTAGACGAAGATGAAGTTTATGAGCTTGCGCTTGTGCACCCCGTCCAGCATAGCAGGAGCAGAGGCTGCACGCGGTCCTGGCAATGATGGGCCAATGCAAAACTATTCTTGCAAGCTTTGCGGGGCTCATGCTGAGAGTTGAGTTTGGAGGCTGGACGGACCAACGCTTCGCAGGCACTTTGAGCTCAAGGCTGACACGCAAAAAGTGGCAGGCGGAAGGCGCAGGATCCATCAAGAGTCGTACCGGTAATAACTTTGACGACGGCATAGTCTAATTACAACCGTCCATACTTTTGGGGATCAGTCTTTTATGCAAAACGGTTAGTCAAACACGAAAAAGGCCAGCAACTCTGACTCGCGCACATGCCTGTACCGTGATCTCCGCTGATTTCTGAGCTTGAGATGTTCACATACCCGCAGCTAAGCTCAGCGCGTGGTTGTGGTGGCAACGGCTCCGGACGCCTGCCACACACGCAAAGCACCAGGTCACCAAGTAGTCACTGCGTGACCTGGCTGAAATTTGTCGTGCCCCCTGTGAGTTTGCTGCAAATCAAGAAGACAGGTGGTGCCATCTGAGGCCAGCAAAACAACTTCAGAATGCGCGCACATCGGAGCTGCAGCTAAGGCTTCTACGGCACATCAGTTTCAGGATAAGCGCAGCGGAATCAAAAGGATGTGGCTACATATGTGTATCCTTCGAGCCTAGGCATCAAACCGCATTCAGAATGTCCCGAGTCTCTGGCCGACCCCGCGGCGCGTTGGTGTTGCGAAGGCACTCTTCCAGACCTGGCAACTCGACACACGCTGTTAGCATGGCAGCTGCGGGGCTTCGGGAGCTCAACGAGGGCCAACAAAAGTCAGGAGTTTGAGCGACGATAGGCCTGATCTTGGAAAAGCTGGACAGTTCGGACCCTAACAGTTTCTTGCCGCACGCTGCTCCTCGCAGGAGCAGGGAGCGGCAGGTTTCAGAGAGAGACAAGGGCTCGACAAATGGGTGCCCAGATCCGCACGAGTACCAATCACAAGTACATGCAAGCCACTCGAATCACGAAACGACCTGACTACCATTGCTTGATATTGCTTGCTTACCTAGCTTGCTTCCCTAGTTTGGCCTAGCTTGCGCAACCCAAAGCCCCAGGAACCAGGAACCAAGACCAAGCATTGGCCGGGCCTATGTGGCCCGCTCCCGGCCAGCCGTCACCCGACAGGTGGAACTCTTCCTGTTCTTCGGGACTCAGCTCTGTGTACCTTGGTTCAGGCCAGACATCACAATGCTTGTAAGCAAAAACGGGATTTGGAGTTGATTGTGTCAGTATTTGCCTGTGTCTTTCTTGGCCGCAGTTGGTCATGCCACAGTGACTTCATCATTCAAGCTCCGAGAAACCCACGGGAAGAACCATCAAACGCTCCTGCCGCTTCGTGTGTGGGCTCCGGTGCGTGTCCTGTCATACGTCATGCTGTTTGTGCTCAGGGCTGGGCGACTCCGGCTTCAGGGCACGCAGTACGCTAGGAAAGACAAGACGTGGAGCTTGCGGAACCGCTGAAGATTCTTGCTCGTGAGCTCACACCACAATCACCCGCGAACCTTGGGACGGTCGCTCTCTTGCATGATTCAGTTCGACCGACCCGCAGGATCTGCCAGTCTGATGTTCAGCACTGGCTTGGCAGGAGCTGCGGATGTCTTTGCCGGGCAGCGGATCTGTGGGGCGAAATTTGTATTTGCTGTTGGAGCGCAACTTGCTGGTGCGTAGCTTGCGGGTGTGTTTTGTGTTGGTTTTAGTGATTCCCCTGTTTCTGCCAAACCTCTGCATTCTCTTGGCAGCGGCAGCTTTCATATGGAGCCCCTTATCACCAATTACTGGTTCTCAAAGGCCTTCCTGGCGTCGGCTTGCCGCCACTCTACGGATCTGCTCACGAAGCGGGCTATCAGTTGGGCGGCTCACTTCTCTCATGCCTGTGATTGGTCCCTGCGCTGCTCTCGCCCCAGTTCGCATGAGGTGAACTCTCCACCTCACTGTCATAGTCATAGTCGCCTGGCTTCCTTTGCAATTGCCACCGTGTCTCCCGGCTTCCTGTCATCTCAGGGGTCTCCACCCCCCGGTTGTCTTCTTCCCTAGCTTGAGCCAAGTGTTCAGCTGTGAAAAACGGGAGGAAACCATCAGGGGCCATTGGGGAGCCTCTGTAAGAAATAAACACAGGAGTGGAAAATATGACGGAATTCGGGGCAAAAGGTCTCAGGTCAGCTTACGAGCAGAACACGAGACCTTGCTTACGAGTATACAGGATTTGAAGCAAAAAAACTTGCGAGGGTCTGGTACCTTGCACGCCATGATTACGTACTCAACAGGCAAACTGAGTGTGTCATGTGCTGACAAGAGACAAATCCTGGCACGTAATTTGACTGCGCAAACTAATTCCACCATTCATTTGCGCCGACTCTCGCCGGTTGCAAACTACACACGAGTTCTCGGACGGCTCTCCGACAGCCAAGGCACACCCACGAAGGAGTCACCACGCCCCCTGCTCGCTTCGGCGATCTGCACGGGGCACGGCGCGGTCTGCGGGCCTCTGGAAATTGTTGCCAATGGAAGCCTAGTAAGAACTCAAGTAAATAGCGGTAGCATCTGCCAAAGTAACACACTAAGCGGGCCTGCGTAAAGGAAACCTGAACACGCCTCGTCGGAAAGCGGCTGAGGGTCTTTGAATGAAAGTGTAAGCCAAGCTTTCGAGCCAGTTAGCCGGACACTGTTGAGGTTTCATGTTTGGGCCAAATGTGCCACAAGGAGCATGACATTTCTGAAGGTTGTTTGGGTCACATCGTTCCATGGAGGCACAACCGTCAATTTGGGCAACGTGTTGGGTTTCGTCTTGCCCTCGTGTTGAAGTTGAAGCCTGAAATCAAGCTGGATTTACGGAGATCTCGGAAATGAAAATCTATCCTGCGCTATACCTGATCTTGGCACACATGCTTTGCGCCTCATTGCAGCTTGAGCTTGGCATTGCCACCAGAACGGCAGCAGAAGCGGCAGCCGCCGCCGTTGCTACCGCGTCCAGCGCCTGAGCAGGCGGATTGACCAAGCGAGACAAAACCAAATTCAAGTTGGGTAGGTGATTCTACCATCAATGGCGACTCTTTCAAGCTTGCTTATGGGTTTCCGTTTGGATCTCAATCTAAGCTCGACCGCCCAAGCATCTGGATGAAGTAAAAGCTAACCCTGTACATGCTACAACTTGTCAAGGAAAAATCGCCATGACACTCATGACACATACCACGGTCACAGAAAGCGAATGGTTCTTCCACAAGAAGTCACTAGAATCTAGAAGGCAACCAGAGATAACCCGAGGAGGACTCCTCAAATCCGAAGCCGCAGCCAGGTGGCATGGCACGTGCGGACCGTGTGGACGGCGGCCTCACCTACACGACGCTGTGCAGTTCGGGAGGGTGGCGCGAAGGTTGTGGGCATCACATGGCATCACCCGTGACTTGCGGTTTGGGGCGGTTTTACACCAACCGGTGCTTTGAGTTGGGGGCTTTCCCTGGCTAGATGCCACAAGAGGTACTAGGAGCGCGGGGCACCCCGACCCTCAGCATCACTCCGAGCCTGCGAGAAACTGCAGCCAGCTAGAGGGCGACATTGAGGCGCCGCAGAAGTTCTAAACCTCTAAACCCAAAGCTCCGAAACCGTAAACCCATACGCCAAGGCCCGCAAACCTCTTGAGCCCGAACGCCGACTTTGGGCTTGGATTGGCACTGGGGTTTGGGATTGAGGGCATAGAGCTTTAGGGTCGCTAAGGGTGTCGGGTTTAGCGTTTGTTGTTGGGTTTCTAATTTGCTTAGGGCTATCTTGGGCTTACGAGGGTCCATGACGTGTGAGGAACAGCTCCGTGAGCGTGGGCTCCAGCTGTCGTTGCGACCTTTCCGGGTATTCGATTCCTCTCGGCCCCCGAGCACCGCAACAGAACCTCCCGTAAACATTAAGCCCCGAACACAGCCTCAAGACAAAGGCACCCGCAAAGCCAGGACGGTCTTAGGGCTGAAGGAGAAAACCAGGGCGGCACTCTGGGCTTCTGGGGCTTGGAGCAATTTTGCTGGCGTGAGCCGTGCACAGGATTGAAAGCCGCTAGCCTAATGGCCACATATGGCTGCATCCACAGCCAAACTACTACGGGAAGGGACGGGAGCCCAGGAACGAAGCTCAAGTGCGTAGTCCTGATATGTGGGTAGCCGTGCATTACGCAATGAAAGTCCCCTGTAGGGCCCCTCCAGTTCCTCAAAGCTGGACCAAAAGCCCAGCCCCTGGCCCCTAAAATCCTTAAGCTGGGAGTCTGAGATCTGAAGGTGTCACGGACTTTACGGCTGGCTTGAGGGACGGACGATGCGGCCAGGATTTTGCTGGGCGGGAAGAAAAAGCTACTGTTGGAGTTGCTGCAGCCATAGCTTAAAGCATGAAAAAGTCTGCATCCCCTCAGGCGTCGGACATTTACATGACCCTGGCCCACACTGGGTCTGCAACACTTTTGCAACTTTCCGACTGCAATTACTCACTCAAACGAAGCACTGCGCCAACGATTTCTGCCTCACTTGCTCGTCGCACGAACACGATCTCCCTCCTTCTTTGAGGTATCACCTTAGCCACTGCGTGCACTGAAAGATTTCTCGGACTAGCCTTGGGCTCTCCTGCCTGAAACCGCTTAAACCAAGGAAACTCTTAGCTGAAAGCTTCACGTCAGTCGCGTGTACGTGGAAACTGATTTTTCGCCTTTGCCGCTTCCCCCATCTGCCTCACTTGGCAACCAACCACTGCTTCATGGATTTGACATAAACCCTTCCTGCACCCCACTCACAGTCCACTTTCGACTGCGGGTTAAGTGGGGTCACTTGGCGAGGAGGTGAATGGGGCTGGTATCCTGCGAGTGTCAACTTGCGTCATTGTCACTACACTTCGTCGTGCACCCCGCTTCTCGACACAGTTGCGCAGCACTTGCGCTGCACTTGCACACCCACTTGTCTTTCGTGGACGGGACAGGTACATTTCATGTGAACTATAATATGGTCATGCTGGCGCCAACGAGCTCATACTAAAGTGGAGCATTGGGGTGACGAGGAGGATTTTGTCCGACAGATCGCACGCTTGATTAACTTCATAAGGCGTATACCTCCTCAACCTTTCATCTTTGCCTTGCAACCCCCCGCTCATTTTTGGGGAAGACAAAGGGGGTCCTGGTTCAGGCTACATTCATATGAGGCTCATCCTGAATAAGTGACGCATGAGGATACGGAAATGGAAGACATGCAGACTGAGGTGATTTTGTCGACGCGCGTCACACGCGGAGGCTTTGCTGTCAAGATTCGGCGGCGGCCTCGCATAGAGGGCTCTGCACGTCCGAGCCCCGGAGGCAAGTTCGCCTGACAAGGTCTGTTTGTTTGACTTTACAGGACTTGCAGAAGAAACAAGCATGTTTGATCCCAAAACAAGTTTCGAGAGGCCATCTTTGAAATCTTGTCACACAAAGCCCTTGCCTCGCTAGTGCTCAGGAAACCGTCTGCTTTGTCAGACCAACTTGACAAAAAAAACCTTCCACCGCGCTTACGGTGCTCCTGGAAGTTCACAGGAACCACAGGAGCTCGAGCGGCAGCTGGACATGCTGCTGCACCCAAAGCCTGCCGCACCCAAGAGAAGGTAAACACTGATGTCCGTGAAGCCTTCAACCGGAAGCTGTCTATGATTCCCGATGCCCCCCAAATCTCCCAAAACGCAGGATTAGCCTCCAAAGCACTCCGAAATAGTAAGGCTCCATGTCTGGAATATTCTGGAATCATGAGACAACCGAGGGGATTGATAGATGTTTCCAGGCCACGTTGTCTTGCGGCGGCGGAGATTCCGCAGGCTGATCCTGCATGTCAAGCTTGCTATCACAACACATAGTGCTCGCCAAGACCTTCAGGCTTGGCGAGGCCGGGGAATCCCGAAATCACCCACGCACCATCACCCGTCCTCTTTGATGCTTTTCAAGAGGTCCGACGCCTTCTTGAGCTCCTGTGCCAGAGAATTACAAATTTCATAGCTCATGTGATACACTGCAGCGCAGCCAAAGTGCAACTCCACCAACCTGATTAAAGCGACTTGTGGGTTTGTTGAGCTCTGGAGATTGACAGAATCCGTCGCCCCCCGTTAGCGTGGGCACTCGAGCAACGACCCCTCTATTGATGCCCACGGTGGTTTCTTCGACCTTAAAGTGTGGATGCAGCATTTGCGGAAACTTCGGTGGATGCGCTAAGCTGCGAGTTGAGGAGGGCTCGCTACTGCAGCAACCGCTATCAAGTCCTGGTGTGAAGAGCTGGATGCAGACGAGTTTTGCCTTGTGTGGGCCCAAGTCTGCACGCATCTACATCAGTAGCTTCGTTCCCTGCAAAACCGGTAAGCCACTGTTGCTTCCTTCTCTTCTGGTTTTATGTCGCTGTGCCCCGTTGTAATTTCGTTCTCTGCAAAGTGTTCCGGAAGTCCTCACTCATCGGTGCCTTCAATACCCAACGGTTTGGCTATGTCGTATTCAGCCTGGACTGCTGCGGAGAATGCAAGTTTCTCTTCTTGCAGCCTTCCATAAATTCCAAAGGATCTCCTGCAGCGCAGGTCTGAAGCCCACCCAGCCTTTGTTTCTGATCTGTGTCGCAGCTTGGCCTTTGCTTGGGGCTGACGCCGCGTGTCCGGTCTTCCCCTTGATTCGTAAGGTGGTGTTTCGTATACACGTTTGCTGTCGGATCCCACCCTCGTCCTCCTCGGCGGTTGTGGCCATTGCCGTCGTTATCGTCACCATCGTGGTGGTTGCTGTTGTCCTGTTCACCGAGCGCGCACAGAGAATGCTTTTATGGATGATAGATGACAGATGGCGCATAGCCGCACATACGGAGATGCGATTCTATTAAATGCTTCATGAGTGAACACATGCTAGCATGTCTACATGCCTGCGTGCATGTAGAACTCACATACAAATTTTAATTGGCTCTCAATACGCTTTCGGGACACCGGTGCTCCAGTAGTGGATGTTTGCTGCCGGCTCCCCCCCTCTTCTTCCTGTTGACTCCCACTTTACCTGCTCATCAAGCTCTGTGGCTTATTGATGGCTTCGGTCGTTGCTGCGCATGAAAATCCAGCTAGGCTCCGGGCGCTTCAGGCTTTGAATCCTGTGAGATATCCTGCAACAATTGCAACCATTCAAAGTGACGTTGCAGGGCTTGCTTTCGATGTGACCATGCCTGCTTGACAAGTTCCTGCTTGCCTGAAGAAGCAGACGCCACTGTCAAGCAGTCAGATTTCACAACTGAAACGCCATCATGCCGAGGATTCGACAGCTCCCGAGGAAGTCCGACATCGCGCAAGCTTTTTTCTTAAATTTTCGAACCGGCGAATTTGAGCCAAACTTAGGATGTCACAGGAAGTCAGGCCTGTACTATGCAATCTTCGGAACAGTTGCAGGTGACGTTGCTTACAGTCTTATGGCTTTGCAATGTTTCGACGTACTGCAGCAATGGGTGTACCTTGCACTGGGCACGGGCACTCAGTGTCCTTTCACTCAGCGGAGCACATGCTGTCTGGATCAGGACGCCTCTATGCCAGTCAGGAGACACGTGGAAGTCGCATGCCACAGGGACCTTGTTGACGGTACTTGTTGCGTTCACGGTGTACAGGTTTGGAGGCGTTCCAAATTCTCATGAAGCTCATGAGAAACTGACCTCGCGACCTCGCCTCCTGGCATCATCTGCATCATCAATATGATCAACATCAGCATGGTCATTTTCATCGACATCCTCACCATCTCAAAGGGAGAGAGGGTGGGGGTAAGCGTTGGCCTGGGTTCATACTCATGAACCAGAGCATAGATGCTACATGTATTCTACAGTCATCTCGAAGGCGCTCCGAATCCCTCTGAACTTTGTCGAAGCCTCACGATTTGAGGACTATCACACCCTCTAAGAAACAATCAGCAGAGCCAGCGCCGCCACAGAACAAAATTGTAAACCCTAATTCCAAAACCCTTCTAAACCTAAAACATGTTCAAGCTCCAAGTCCCCGAGTGAGCCTGACTGCGTTCTGAGTTTGGGTTGAGGGCTCAGGCTTGAACTGGTGTTTCGGGCCGTTTAAGGTTTAGGGTTCTGGGTTTAAGGTGGGTTTGAGGTGATGCTTGGGAGAGGTACCTGAGAGTCGGGCACTCCAGGATTGCGCCCGGAACCGATCAACATCACCACAGCAACCATCTTCCGAATGCATACGATCGTTGTCTATCACTTTTCTTCATCACGCCATCTGAGCGTGCTGCTGCGATGGTCAGAGACTCCCGCAACCTGATCCGCGGCAGGCTTCTACTGCAGCAATCCGAGCGCCAGTGCCCGGAACATGTGATCCGACGTGCCGGAGGGATGACCTAATAATGACAATCGTCTATTGACAATAGTAGTACTAGAATGTAAAGCAAGCTGGAGAATGAGACGGTCGCTGCCCTGAGAGGGAGCAACGAAGAGAGGGTTAAGGGGAAAGCAGCACAGAACACGCCCTCACATGGCACCCTCCGGGCGTTGAGAGGGCAGCGTGCGCTCAGAGCTGCTCTTAGGCATCCGCGAGGGGACCTCTTGCGGGTCATCGAGATCGGAGCCGTCGATCTGCCACTTTGCCGAGCACGAGCGAGCACGTTCTTTTTTTTGGGACTCATCAGTGCAGGCTTGGCCTTCCCGATGCTTCCCGCAGTTCCCGCAAAGTGGCGCTTGACTGGTACCTAGTCCTTCGAAAAAGTCTATGCCGAGTCTATGCGCCTCGACAGCATCACAGATACCAGCCTCCTCCACCTGCGCGCAGCGAGTGGCTCACACGTTCCACCCCAATTGTGTCCCCTGCCTCGGAGCCGGTCTCGACCTGCGTCAAAAAGCTTCAGAACCCTTTGATGCAAAAATGACTAAGATGGATAAGTCCGAGATTTTAGAAGAGAGCGGATTCTTGCAATTTTGTTCTCCCATATCTGACCTTTCCGATGTGCCGGCACAATTATCGAGCGGTGCGTGTCGGAGTGCAGTGTTGCATGGTATTGTGATCCCAACAATCGATGACCCGAAACAACTTTGACAAAAATCTGTGTCTTGGACAACTGTTCATTTCTGGAGTTGCTGTGTCTGCTATGTCCCGCATGGCTGCCCTGTGTATCTTCAGGTTCGCGCAGGATGTTACAAACAGTTACCTTCTTTCTGTTGTCTAGATTGCCACTTTGCCGACTTCGCATCTTCTTGCATACTTCTTCTTGCGACGTTGCCACTCGTCCCTAAAGCCATGCAGATTTGCATCCTGCAAGTGATGCTTCAAGCAGAGCATGTCATATCCATATCATGCTCATTGCGCTGGTCACATTTCCAGCAGGCAGCAGCACCCATTGCCAAATCCCATCACACCAGCTCTTGCATGCTTGTGTCTTGCCGCATACTGCTCTCGAACCCGTGTACAGCAGAAACAGTGCAGCTTGTTTTGTCTTGAAATCGCGATGCACCCTGATATTCATGGTGGACTTTTGGAACGGAAACGTCCTGAGCGCTTTTTTGGGTGTCGTCTGGCGTGAGGAGGGGGCGGGGGGCAGGGGCTATGCACACAGGGCGATATGCATACGTGTACGTATTTGCCGTTCTTCATCTTCAGTGCTCTGCTTGCTTCCCTTCCGATAAACCGACAATCTCACACAGAATATGGGGCTGCACTGGTGCGGCGCTCCTCCTCCTCTTCCAGCTTCTCTGAGTCCGAGGACTCTGTGGATCTGATGGACCTGGAGAGTGCGCTCAGGGTGCTCTGAGAAGAGTTGCGGAGTGTGGACTCTGAGCTTTAAGCTGCTCTCTCTGAGGGCTCTCTCTGTTGAAAAATGTACTCATCTCAGCGAGACGAACTCTAAGCTGCTTTCTTGCCTTCTCGCTCTCTCTGATTTCAGTATCTCAAAGAAGAACGCGCCTCTCGGTGTCGCCCCCGCAGGGGCCTGTGACCAGCCTTGGCAAAGCGGGCTGCGCAAGAAAATGCTGTGACGTCATTCTGCCATATTCTGCCCTGTGACCTCTTCAGTGATCTTCAGTGGCTGACGACTGATTAGAACTGTATACAGCTGAGCAAATCTGCGAAACTTCCCCAATGGTTCGCTGGCTGCATTTTGCCGTTTCCTTCTCAGAGAAGTGTCTTTCCTCTGCACCTTTCTTCTATAAAAGGTGAGAGAAATTGAGAGCGAGCGGCATGATGATGCCGCCCAGGACGGTCAGAGAGCTCGAGGCAACGCCGTTCCTCAGACTCAGAGCCATGCAAGCAGGGATGCGGGGAGCCATGCAAAGCTCCTCTCCCTCACTTTGGGGAACTCTCTCTCAAACTTGTGACTGAGACTCTCAAAGGACTTAGGTGAGACCGGTGTGAGACTGTGAGAATTCGGTGAGAGGTGAATCGCAGCGCCCACATCTCCCAGAATTATGCCACTTTTTGTATGCACGAAGACAGCGTTAAATAGAGAGCGAGAGAGAGAGAGAGAGAGAGAGAGAGAGAGAGAGAGAGAGAAAGAAAGAGAAACAAATGAGAGAAAGTGAGAGAAAGAGAGCGAGAATGAGAGGTGCATGCAAAATGAAGTGATTCGGATGCTAGGCTCTGGTCAGACTCTATTGACCATTGACTCCAAGTCGCCAGGAGTTCACTTCTTTCCACTCCTCAAGCCTGGAAGGCAGTGGAGCTGCATCTGCGGACGGCGCGCATCTGCTCGCGCTTGAGGCCACGGCACAAGACCCGTGGCCACCTCGAAGCGAGGGGCAACAGCAAAAAACGTGGCGAACCACAGCACACAGCGGCATGCTGAGACTTGTTCTTTTGCACGTACGTGTAAAAGCTAGTTCTCAGTTTACCTACACTTGTGTGAATGCGTGGTGGAATTTGTGGCACTGAGCGGTGTCACAATGTCATTTCAGATGATGCAGTGCTGATTAAGTTGTCTCGCCCAGAAGCCCTTGCCGTGCTCATCATGACTTTTGTACTGACGCAGTGATGTTGGTGGGCCATTGGTGGGGCTAAACTGATGGCGAGGATAAACAACTACAGTCTCGGAGCGATTCATCTCGTGACTCTAGTGCTTATGGCCTCCAATGCTTCTGCTGGGGGAGGAAAGCCACTGCCAATGGACTCATCTACTCAGAGATGCTTCTTGGCCCGGCATGTTCGAAAACATGAGATAGCTATGCAAAACAGGTAGGAAGCCGTAACCACATGAATTTTGTACTGGTTGCAGGAGGTTCAATTTGGACTAACTAATTACACTGCACTGCAACACGAAGACAAAGACTGCGGTGCTTCTGAGATGACAGGGAGCTTAAATATACTTAAATGTCATTCCCTTATATAGTGTTGCAAGCTTCGAGCTTCCAAGATTTCTGTCTTTCCGAGCTTAGGGTGTAATCAAGGCTTTGGGGACTCGTGTTCAAGGGACCTCAAGAGATTCTATGCGCCGAGCTATACCTTTCAGAAGAGGACCTCACCACTGTCCGCTCCAGTCTCAGAGTAGGTCTGGACGCTGCTCTGGCTCGATTCTTGCGTTGAGGCGCAATGCTACCTCTAGGAAGGTGAAGGTCCGCAGAGAGTACTCCAACAAATCCTGAAACCTGGACATTGGAAGCAAAAGCAACTCCAAACGCTCAACCACACGGGTTGATCCTAAAACTGATTTTGACAAATTGGGGACTTTCGGACCACCCAATCGTTGAGTCCCCGCATCTGGGGCTCAACGTGTAGAAATCTCATTACCCGAGGTTGGACCCCGGACCTTTGCAACTTACGGTAAAGCAGCTTTTCGTGTGTGATCGTGATAGTAGAAGTTCTCAACTCTGCATCCATAGCCAGATCCCCAAGACACTTCGCTGGCATCGCTGCTCCACTTCGAGAAAGTGTACGTATGTCTTGACCGCTGAACCGATGCTCACACCTCCCGAGACAAGTAAGACTCAGTTTCTTGTTCTCGAAAGGTTTGAACTGTTGCTGTACTTTGGATCCCTCAATCGCCTCCTCGTCGACATCCATCCGGTACATGTGGACCTTCGCCTGGTCACCTGAGGGATCATGCAACTTCGGCGACTGAAAGGTGCATCTCCCCTCCTTGCGCCGACGGCGCTGCCGCGTCTCCACCCTAAAAGAAAAGAAATCTTGGCCCGACACTTGTGGGTGCGGCGACCTTCTCAGGAGTCACATCGACGTCCTGTCTTGGCAGGATTTCTGTCACAAACAGACGGACACTCATGGTGGTTCGATCGAAGCTGTAACAGTCTGCGCTCTTTCAGAACTGCAAAAGATCTATGTACTTGTCCGGGGCCCGCAGAGCTATACCTGTTTGCTACTTGCGCCGCTCCTTTGTTTTGAGACGCCGCTGTGGGGTGTGCGGCTCGTCCTGACGAGACTGTTGCAAAGAGCCGTGCGCCACACCGACGCCACCAGCTGACACTGGGCGTGAGGGCATCTGAATGCAATTCGCAAGGCCGAAAGCACAAAATCGCGCCTCTGGCACTGTAGCGCACGAAGGCTCCGAGGAACTGAACTCACTGGGCACCCAGGCCTGAGCACTTGCAGGAAAAATGGAAAAGACTGAAAAAGAGGGCAAAAAAGGCGTGCTAAGACGCCAGCTGAAGCCAAGGCCACTTCGGCCGCAACCTCCTGGCAAGGTTTGGGAACTGCTGTCGCAAAAGAGCCCACCACTCACCGAACAAAGGCCAGCAAATCTGCCTGCAACAGTTCTGCGCGGAAGTTGCGCCACTCCTGGAAAGGGATCATCGTGTGACTGCCTTGACACTTGGGGTTCCAGCAAGACGCGTGCACCTCCAGCAGGGCCTTCTTCACACCTTCTGGTTACCTGTGAGGACAAGCACAGACAAGCACTATTGAAATCCTGCGTGCTTCGTTCCGCAATCCAAGGCTGGGACTGCTGAAATCAAGTCCTCTGCCACTGATGGTTCAGCTGCTCTAGCCTCCCGGAGTGAGAAACTGAGAAACTGCGGTGTCAGGTTGCGGATACTTCCAGCCGGCCTCATGGCCGCCCAGCAACTGCCACACTGCGCAAATGCCAGGGTCTTCTGCCAGCGGCTGTGGCGCGAGCACTTTGAGTTATAGTCTTTCCCAAGCCAAAGCTGCATAGATACAAGAACACATGGACAGCTGAAGCACATGGGATGCTCTTGTTGTCCAACTGCGGGCAATTGAGGCAGCCAAATTGTTCCCAACCGACACAACGACGAGGACCGAGAGACGGACCAAGACAATGGACACTGCCACTTTTCTCTTGAGAACATGATTGAGGCACCCTTCGATCTGTAATGATCCTCTGAGGCTTAAGACGGTGCACCGCACGCAACGACGTACGACGGAAAGGAACAGCTTGCGAGAGTGGCTACTGTCCGTCGAATGCTTTATGCCCTTGTTGAACTCCAGGCTTCGAGACCCAGGCGACCCGCGTTTTGGCTGCATTTCGGGCATGGAGCTCTGCGGCGCCGTCCTACACTAGCCATTGCCAGTCCAGTTGAGCTGGCTGCCTTCCGAAGAGGTGGTCGCATGACAAGCAGCATCTCCTTTGCCCCACGCCGCCACAGCGCCTTTCTGAAAGGAACCCCTGATCAACGTCGTGGTCGGGCCAAGCCCGAGTTTAGAAAACCTCGACACCCGCTCCTAATCTCCATTGGCGACCGAGCTTCCGATCCACCAGTGGGACCAGTTCAGCACAACGCCGAGGCTTTGCAATCGTCTCTCGGCCCCCGCTGTGTCCTCCTCCAGAGGATGTCATGGCACTGGGGGACTTAGCCATCCCTCCAGCTACGCAGGGCTGTGAGGCAAGTTCCAGATCTCTAGCAATTTGTGCATTCTTAGGGAGCGCTGGGCGCCTGAACCATGGAATAGGCCTGGCCGCTGATGGACGGCGTAGAAAGACAAGTTGGCTTCCCAGACCGCAAAGTTGAACGTTAGCTGGTCCCTGGCGGTGCGGGTAGGAAGGTCTACGACGTTTTTGTTTGTACTTACTGCTTCCGACATGAGAACCACAGAAGTCCCGGCATCCGCAAAACTGAACCGCAAGCGCGAGGCTGCTGGACTGGCGAAGTTCCTGACCTCGCCTGGATACATTCCAGGAAAGGAACTCTTTCATCCAGGCACATCCGATCAAGGAAGATTCCGGCGCCCGGAGGTCCCGATAGTGCCAGGTGCCTAGCTCAGGGCTCATTTCCTTTTCCTCACATGAGCAACAGTGCAGGTCAAGACAGCTAGCGTTGCAGCAGTCGGCCCGGCTAAGGGGTTTGTGCCCGCGCTCCGACATGGGTGTTAAAAGCGACACACAGGTCCAGCCTTCGATCAAATAAGGTGGTGCCTGCAATGGATAGCCCTTGGCGTGGTAGGACAGCATTTGATCCACGCACGTGTCGTCCGTAAGGTTGAACAAGCCTCGGTACAAGTTGGTCCGAGGCTTCGGAATTAGCATATCAGTATCGTCTATGACAAGAACCAGCTGACTCAGGTTTGCTTACCCTCCTGCAGCCATGGTGCAAACCTGCAAGGCCTCTTCGTAGATTGTCCGCCTTTCCAGATGCAGTGGCGAGGCCCAAGCCACCCTGCCACCTGGGGGCCGCAGCGCCCGGAGCCTGGCACTGCACATTTGCCAAGGGAGCAACACCGGAACCGTTGTGCTGAGTTTCCTAGCCAAAAAATGGCCAGGCAGCACGAATGCTTCCACGGTCTCAGGCGTGACGTCGTTCATGATCAGCTTTCCATCGACATACAAGAGAAACTCTGCCGAGCTGAAGGCTCGATGGGACAGCATCTTCATAAGCCTCGAACGGCGTGTGCGCGCGAACGGCGGCGGGATACTGCTGATCATGCTGTCGCTCAGAATGACCACGTGCCATTCTCCCAGCCGCGGCAGCACGCAGTGTGAAACTTCAGACTGTTTTGACAAAAAGCAAGCGTTCTCCAGCTCAGCTTCTGGCACAGACGCTCTCGCACTAGCTTCGTCGAAGAAAATAAAGAAGCAAAGGCTGGGGCCACTGGTTTGCGGAAAAGACAGATCAACCTTGTCGTATGCCCCAGTCACCGTTGTTACGACAACAAACCGACAAGGCTGCGAGCTGTTGCGTTGGCCATGGAATCGCCAGTGGTCCACAGGTATCGGAAACGTAAATGAAGGCAGCAAGGCCGGACATGGATCCACAACCCTGTCGAGCCGATCCAGCAATGGCTCCGGGCCATGCATGATTTGCATTACTTGCAGGCCTTGTTCCAAAAGCTCGCTCCAACTGACGACCATCGTTGCAGCAACAATGGCGACACCGCATAGGAGGATAATCTGCACAAGTCGGCGGTGAAGCATCTTGTTACCGGGTATCATCCATGGCATCCATGGGCTTTGAGGACATGCCACAAGCTTGATGAACTTAGGGACATCAAACTTTGCACGAAGCGACTTCACATGACTTCTTGCTCAGGCTGAACGTGATGCGCGACTTTGTGATGACAGTCGATTCCAGCTTCGAGGTCCGATTTGCGGCACAGCACTGACCTGACCGGATCATTTCACCTCACTTGACTACAAGAGAAACCATTCAGACGCAGTGTTGCTAAAGTCGGTGGCTAGAACTCGTGCTGACAGAATATATTTCGTGGTCAGCTCGAGACTCGATATGTGCCGAACTGCAAGAGGTAAGCACCAAAGAAAGCTTGAAGACTTCGCGCCTCACTGTCATTGTTTTGGCTCGGCCGCAGGTTTTTCATGCCAACAGCCGGACTTGACACTGCACGGATCTCCTGCGCCATGCTGCAGCTGGCAAAGCAACTGTACAGGCCCTGCCGGCCCAGAGAAAACAGAACAGGATTGAGATTCTCTGGTGGAGGACGAAAGCAGCAAACACTTGATTGCAGCTGGTTTTCCTCCTCACGCCACTTTCAGAAGCGGGCTGTCATCCTCGACCCTAGAGATCATCAGTGCTCGCAATCGCTAGTTACGCTAGTTATTTAAACTGCAAGCCGTCAGACGTTATGCTTCGTGGGCGCGCTTCGCAAGGCTGTTGGAGGAAGCAAGCGTGCACAGCCTCTGCTGCGAACCTCGGCGATGTCTTGTGCAAACAGCTACCAATGAGGGTCTCCCAACGAAGAGACAGCACATCACCTATGTACCTGAGCCATCCGCGAATGACGGTAGCCACATCATGAATTTCCTGCGAGAAAAAACCGGGATAGCACTGGTGCAGTCAAGCAGACATCCGCCTTGCAAGTATTCTACTCTGCCCAGCATCAAGCATGGCCAATAGTCAGGGCAAAGCCATTGCATGTCACTCTTGACACACGTCCCTGGCGTCCGACTTTATAGGGGGTCCTTGAATCAACCCATCAGGAATTGGAGACGACCTGCATCAGCAAGAGTGCGATCACCAGCATATACCAGCATGTCACACCCTAGCGCCCCAGCTTCTGCGCACTCTGCAGCATCGGTTGCCTCCAGACCGCATTCTTGGACCAGCTTGGCGAGCTCTGCATCTCTGCCTCGCTTTCAGGCCGAGACAGGGGTATGCCATGAGGTGTCCTCCTGCAAAGGCGAATACTACCATCATGAATCATGTCTAAGACCACTTCACGCACCGCGGAATGCCCTTCAAAGGCTGCGGCTGGATGCATCCTCCTGCAACATGGCTATGCAGGCATGCGTGTGACTAGTTTCAGTGGCGACAAGAATCGACGGCCCAGAAATCTGGCTGATCTAGCTGACACTCTGACAATGTCCTTGAAGGCTGCCCGCCAAGATGTACAGCGGTCCAACATGGCCTAACCGAGTAGCCGAGCCAGGAATATGCCTTTCCGTAAAGAAGAACGTGGAACTGGGAACTGCGACACCGATTTCCGGTATTCACCAGATGTATGCACAGATTAGCAAATAAGACGTCTGACCCATGTACAGCTCACAAGCATCACAACGGCGCTTTTGCAAGATTTGCTTATCTCCCCTGCTGCAGTTTTCCATTGCCTTCCCGAAGCTGCGACTCTCGTGGCCCTGTTCGACCTGCTGCTGGAAGACCTTCCAAACTGCAGAAGTGCAATTTGTTCAGTCGCGAACTTTGCAGACGGGGGTCCCGTCGTACAGCACCAAGGCACCGGGTGTGTGAGGTGCTAAGCCCCAGGCATCGCGGAGAGCGGCCGCGACCTCGAGATTTGTTTAGCACAAGCACCCTAGGACCCAGGACGCTTCCTAATTGGTGCAGCTGAGGCAAGTCAAAGTCAGTGTATCTTCAGTGTCAAATCGGGAATTGGTTTTCGGCTCTTTTTGGGAAGTCTATGGGGCCGATGCCGTGTCCCGAACCTGCGGATTAGGTGCTGCTCCCAAAAGTCGGTCGATGCTGTCTGTATCCCATTGCCATTGATAGCATGTCGGTTCCATTCCAATCTATGCTCTAAACATTCTAAACTTATCCCTCGTTGCATCTCGAAGACCCCGCTTGTTAATCAATTTCCTGCTACTAGCTTCCGATGTCATAACGGTTGAGATCCAGACATCAAGGTAACCCTTTGGGATCTCCTCTCGGTGGAGTCGCTGTCGTGCATGCCTTAGCAGTCGTTGACTGCCACGAAAAAGCGTCCCAGGACACAACGCACTGAATCTGGGCTAAGGGTCATAAGATGTCATAAGCACGGGTTCTGACTCAGCCTTACCAAGATCCTTAGTATCCCCCTCGACGTCGCGTGCAAACTGCGGCAACAGGCTTGACATCAGAAAGCTTCTGGCGCGTCGGAAGAACAACAAATTTCAGTTGCACCTAGATTGAATCAAATGGTGGCTACTGTGCAATCCCAACTCTCCGCAACCTCAGCTTGCATAGACGTTATCCTTGGAGGCGTACTTCTCCCCAAAGACGACCTGCTGCATTGTTGAATCGAAGCGGAGGGCAGCTACACCGGAAATTTCCCAGGCACACAAAACATGCTTGGCTAAGCAACCTTGTTGCCACAAATGGCCACGGCCAATCAGCCCCGTGTCACAACAACAACCAGATCAAGACATGCGATTGCACTTCTTCGCGAGACTGCTGCTCCTAACCCAGCCGAACTTAACGGGCATTGGCATTATGAGAACATAACCATCTTCAATGATGCGTCCGTTCCACTTTAAGCAAAGTCGATATTCTCGCGTTTTCTTCTGCTTCTGACTGTGATGATTGAATTTCCGATCATTAGGTCAACGATCTCACGGTCTTTTACGCACGTGTTGCAACCGGCAAATGTTATGGCCTGCTAGGGGCTTGCCTGACTGCTGACGAACAGTACGGTTCTTTATGCAAAACAACGTCATATGTGTATTACCACGTATGTAAGTTTTTGGCTTCAACCGGCAGTTGAGTCTGTCTGATACTTGATAGCTTTTCGGATTTCGGTGAGTTTAAGCTGACGCGATTACAAACAAGGCTTAACTGAATTGAATCATTCTTAGTTGGTTTCAAATGATGTCAATGGTCAATGTGAATTGGTTTCACCTGCGTTTGACAACTTGAACTGGTACTAGTAGTTAACGGCTTGCAGAAGATCTCTGACTGGTGTTACCTTCATTGAACCCGTAATGCAAAGATTGTGTAATGACAATGAGGTGGGGTCGCGCCAACCCCCCAACCCCCTACCCCTCCGCGTTCTGCTTGGGTCGTGCAGGCTTGCTTTCACTAAATGCACCTGAGTTGAAGTCTTTGTGTCTTCGACTGAAGCCTGGTACCAAAAGCAAGTCGGGGATGTCGACTACATTTCAAAACGCAACGAGACGCTGTGATGGTGCACTGTCAGATACTGTCAGGTTGATCGCGTTGTCTTGCTCGTTCCTGAAATGTGAGCAACACACCGTCTGGGGCCACTGCCAAGATCAGAAAACCAGCGCCGTTAGAGCTTTCAAACTCCTATTTACGCACTTCAAGTCTGTGGCCTGGTCTATGCTCAAGCTTAGTATTCAATTCTCAACTTTAAACCTCAGTTAGCAATGATGCTTCAGCCGTGTGTAATTTCACCTGGTGCTCAATTGATCGTCATAGGTTTTTGATTTCGCAAATATGAGCGCTCCCACTCGGACTCGTCAGATGATGGATGTCGGTGCATGTCCACATTGATATTTAATTTCGAGTTGTTTGGAATCCAATTGCAAGACCTTGGACTTACGTGACGGGATTGCGAATAATGATGGTAACATCGAGGTTCAATAGCACCCCGCGCTGCGCGAGAGCGATACACCACGAACCGTCGGGGGGGATGGGCCCGTGGCCCTCCTCCAGGGATAATCTACCACTCTCGGGGTGGGCACTTCGCAAAGTGCCGCGCAGGCCCGGAGGCAGAGGCAGAGGCCGGGTCGCATAGCGAATGAAGGTCCACTCAAGAATTGTCAAGGAAGGCCATCAAACACTCATCAAGGACTCTGTGTGACACAGGACCGCTCTGTGTTGTCTTTCTTTCTCCGATGCAGATCTTTAAGGACATCTCTGTGGAAGCTTCAATGCGGACCTCTGCGTGCTTTGCCGAGCGGAAGAGGAGCCGCAAGGCCCCGGCAAGCACTGCCTGGTCAACGAAAGCACACGGCGGCAAGCAGGCTAAGCCGGCTAAGCAGTATAATTAGGGCCGCCTGTGGTCATCTACGAATCTTTCAGAGATTGCGCGAATCCGTCTCGTGTAGACTCGATGAACAAAGGAGGATACCCTTCATCCAGGCAATCTCCCTGCCCCGCCCCAGGCATGTCCTGGTCGTAACAGCCCCAACACCAACACGGGCATGTCATAGTCTAGCGTGCCACCCTACCACATGGCTTCGCGAAGAATCCTGCCAGCTTCCCGTCTCACGGGTTCCCAGGTCCAAGTATCAAAAGCAAGCTGGCAGCTCTTAGCAAACACGTGTCACAAGCAGCACATGTTATCACAACATCGAGGACGCGATTCCCATGGCCTCATCCTCGAAATCTTTGGCTTTGGTACGGGCCTTATGAGACACAGTGCGAAGCAAGCCAAAAGACCTGTCATTCCATAAAGCCATTTCATCCTATGGAAGGACTTTGATGGCAAATTGGGCTTCAAGTGGTACCAGGGACCAGGCAGAGTGAATTTGTCAAAGCCCATCCAGACCCAGTTTGACTGTTATGCTCAAAGCCATGGTGCCCACGTCGGGGACGTCTAATTTGAACAACATGTATATACATATGCACTTATGTGCATACTCACCTTCTGCGTTCGGATTCTAGTTTCTTTCAGGTCATGTGACTGAGCATCCCAAGCACGCCGAGCACCGAGCGCCGAAATCGCGGAGCCAGAACTCCACACCGCGGCCACCATCCGAAGCTCCTGCCATGCAGTACAACCCACAACCTTTCCAGCACAGGTCGTTTCCTGGCAGGGCATCGCATGGCCTCAGTCAGTCCTTTTGGATCCTTTGGGTGGTGCTTGCATCTGTGAAGGCAGTGGCACCTGGAAGTGCCCTGCGTTTTCGAAGCTGCAGCAAGAATCAAGTGCGACTGGCTGCATTTTCAGCGACGGCTTGGAGAACTTCAGATTCCACACAAGTCGGCAAAGCCGGCAGAAACGAAATCGTTTACACTGCTATACAAGTGCAAATCTACTCGAACGGAGCTGGCCCCCCTCGTAAGCGAAAAACAACAGCCCGGCCAAAACCCTTCAGAAACGGGTGGCATGCCAGAAGTGTCGATTTCAGAAACGAGATGCACACCATCGCACACCGAACGAGAACTTGCACAACACGGACCAGCTGTCGAAAACGCTCCATTGCTTGCGGCAGATATACCTGATGTCTTCGCGCGGAAATCGGCTGTCTAGGCGCCATCTGTAGCTGGTTCAATGCAGTGCAGTGCAGTAGTATGCTCCAGCTGACATAGCGCGTAGTCCCCAGGGGGTACGGGCACACGCAGCGATTGGGCTGTGGATTCTCGAAACATGCAGCCGACATCAGCCGACAAAAGCGGGGGCGGGGCAGCCGAATCAGAATAAGGCTTGCAATACTTGGCTTCGCAAGGCAACGCCTGCGGACAGTTGGGGTGGACGCGCTTGGTCGAAATTGGAGCGTGAATTTCCTTAATGTTGAAGGTCCAATGTAGAAACTACTGTCGGGCTCGCGGAGCTTCTCGCTCCAAGCTTTCGAATCGGATGCACAGCATTTTCTGCAGTTCCAGCAACCGTCCGCACCGTCTCCGAGTGGTGGATTCGAAGGTCCACAACAAAATTTTCCGGCTTGCCCCGGCCGATTCATTGAAGAGCTTAGAGTTTGCTTGGTTCAACGATGTGGATGCGGTCGAGACTAGGCAAGCCCTACTGTAATTGCATACCAGCCGTGCCGTGGCCACTGGCCACACCACAGCCGGAAAGCAATTCACGAGAGCTCGCGTAATGAGACGATTTCATTGGGTTGACACGGAGCAGTCCGCTGACATGCAACCCTACGTTGATGGCTGGTACTGACGTGACTGTCGAGCTCTGTCGACATCCGCGACACTCACTGGGAAATCTTCTGGTGATTAGTTGCAAGTGAGATGAAAGCACCAAAAGCAAGAGTTGCCACAGTCCTTTGGTTGCCTCATCTCGCATGCTGCGATAGTCCTGAGGCAAGCAAAGCCAAGTCAGACTCTATTCCGTACCAGCCGCGACGGTCTATGCTGTGCAGAGCAACAAAGACTGGCGGAGCGCTGGTGTTCCTTGGGATGGGGCGGCACGATCCAACACTCTCCGGCAACATGCAATCCACTTCGCTATATCAGCTCTCGGAAATCTTCTGTGCTGACACGCTGGATTGACAAACAAGATTGAGTGCGGAATGCAGGGCTTCGTCCTTGCCGAAGTCGGTAACCCTGCAAAGGCCCTGAAGTTCTGCCTGGCAGTTGGAAGTTGCCGTTCAAGCGGCAAGCATGAAGGACGTACTGGCAATCGGCTTAACATCAAAGGCAAACGCCGAATGGTCTGCATGTCTGTTGCTTTACAACACACTTCTGGATATCGGCAAAAACCCGGTTGCCAGCCTGACGTTGTAGCAACATTTCCAGCCGGGAACGCTCAGCCTGACATGAGGCGAACAACCCTGACCATTGGAGGCTCCTGTGCATCGAAAGTGGAGCACAACCACAGGTTTTGCACCTCGATCGAACCTGCTTGCTGAACGGCTGGCTGTAAGCCGCACGAGACATGCAATGTTTAACAGGTTAACTTGCATCAGAATCAGCATGCAACGCATGTACGGAGGGCTTCATCCTGAGTTGTGTTGTCTACTTTCACTGCCATACCATGTCTTGCCTCGGCCCCAACCAGCACAGTCGTTGGGATGACTTCCGTACGCTCCACGGTTGGAGCTTCCCTCGGAGATCGAAGAAGGTTTGCAGCTAAGATTATTACCACTGTAAACATCAACATGCATTTTCGATTGTTTCAACTTTGGTTAACATGTTTCACAGAGGGCATGATCGCATGTGCATGTCTTCGGCCTGTGGAGCCTGAATTGTGATGCGCTGGTGTCGTGTGGGCGCGGTTGACAAGGGCGTGAAGCAAGCAGACCGTCAACACAACAAGCAGGTTGTCACCATCTCAATCCGGAGCTGTGACTTTGAGAACACATGCTTCCATTTCTCAGCCATGCCCTGCACCCCCCCCCCCCCCCCCGACCTACACACACAGATAGAAACACGCAGACAAACACACAGGCACACAGCCAGCCAGCCAGCCAGCCACGCGCACAAACACACAATCACACACACTCACATCGGAAGAGATAAAAGCTTGAGCCATGCAGTTCATGAGTTTATGGTCCGTGTGATATTTCATGAAAACAGCGATGAGAGTGACGAGTGACAAAATCAGTTAGGCCATGACGTTCTCTTGCAATATTCCGTGTGTTGCACCTTGCGAATTCGGCGAGGGATAAACTCGCATGTCGCGAGATAAATTCATATGATGAAAGCACAGTTGTTCTTGGTGGACAGGGGTCATTCTTGGATCTGTTCCTATGCTCAATGCAGTCATAGCATCTAAGCGAGACAGCTGTTGAAAGGCAGGTTTTGACACCACGTTTCTCTTGTCTAAGACTTGAAAGACACGTTGGTTCTTGAAATGCCGATTTCGCAAGGAAACATTGTCAATCATATTTCGGAGGGACGTGGTTTCTTAGCCATGACTGTGCTGCTGGAGGTCATGATGGTCATGTGCCAGTGCCATGTCGTGGCAGTCGTGGAATTCCCTTGGTACAAAAATGTTGCCCATCTGTCGCAACGCACTTGGAACCCAGCTCACCGAACTCGCCAGCCACGGTGTCCAAGTCCCTGCGCCGCAACAGGCGTGTCTCCCAGCGCTCCTCGTCTGCGAAGCAGGTTCCGCGAAAGGGTCTGGAGTTCTCTGACACCGGAAGCAAGGAGGGCTGAACGTTGATTGTGGTGCTGCGGGTACTGGTGCTGGTGATGTTGATGTTGACGAGAAACACAACCCGAAAGTGCTTCTTTCAGTGCTGTATAGTGCTGTCGTTTGCCGACACTGTTCGGGTCTACCTTTTCAGCGCAGCGCTTCTGGGGAATCAGCGTCTGTTGCCACCTCCTGCTGAAAAGTCAGCTTGAAGCTTACTTAAGACTTAAGCCTGACAAGTTCCCTGATCGCGCTTCTCACTTTGCAAACGAATCTTCGTTTTTACACATCAAAAAGGCACAGATACCAAGCGGCCGTCCTTACGCGCGATCTCTGCTTGAAGTATCTTGATGTCCTGGTCGGGGTTCCGCAACATTGGATCTGACGAACTGTGAGGAGTGTGACAAGTTGTGGCCTCTCAATCCCCTTCCCACAGACGTAAGCGAATCGGTCTGTCGGATTCGGAGATGAACGGACTGAGCTTAAGCTTAGATCTCTTACCGACCGCAGGAGTACCGTTTTCATGATGAGCTGATACTGCGTCCCATTAAGAATTTCGATTGCGCGCTGCATCAAATCTTAAAATGGCTTAGGCTTTGGGGGGAAGCTGAATCGACAACCTGCTCAATCTTCTCAAGCGCGACGGTGATGGAAGCGGCCTGCAGAGGCGCTACTACAAGCCTCTACCGGATGCTTCGGACCCACAAGTCGGTGCAAACATGAAAGTTGATGTATCATCGCGATCATCACAGGCTGCAACATCTAAGCTCCACTTTGCTTCTGAATACTTCAACACGTGATCTGGAAGGACAGCGCTGAGGTGCAAAGCTGTAAAACGTCGAAAATCCAATCACTTTTGACAACTTTCTGCATGCTTTCGACACGCCCGTGTAAGTACTCGGCTCCTCGTCTTGACATCTGTGTCCTAAAACAGAGCTCGTGTTTTGAAGCATGTTCCTTACCAAACCCAAAAACCAACCGAACAACAACAAACATAAAAAAAAAAAAAACAACGATTTTCACGCTACTCTGGACTCCGGAGTAGTGTGGAGATGAGATGCTTGTTGTTCCTTTATGGTTCGTTTGTTTCCGGTCCTCCGCTCTTCCATTCGCCCCCACCGTCGCTGCAAAAAACAATCCATGATGCTGCGTCAGTGTAGTACAACTGCTGGAAAAGAACTTCATGCGCCCTGCACATGATGCAGGACAGCCACCGGGAGAACCTCGTTAACTCTGGAAGCAGAGTGCAAAAATCCAACCCAACAATGCTTTTGGCCGGAGAAATCTTCAGGGCACGTGCGATCGCATCGAGTAGTGAAGGACAACGATTTGAAACATGTCATGCGCCCTGCAAATGGTGAAGGACAACCCCCGGGAGAACCTCGTGCACTCTGGAACCCGTTGCAAAATCCAAAACTATCGACGTCAAAGAACCTTTCACTGCAACACCTGTGCTTTCAAACATTGTATAGTCTTGAGTCTGACAGTCTGACTAGTCCGGAACTTTGTCTTTTTGTGCTCTTTTCTTTGACATGTGAAGTATACCTTTCCCAAATACTGTAAATCCCAGCCAATAGCTGCTCGCTATCGCTACAGGAATAGAAGCATAAGTTGGACGCTGGAAAATGGGACATGGAAAAACACATCATTTGGTTTGTCAAGACTACTGAAATTCTATCTTTGGAAGTTGAAACATTGGAAACTGAAAAAATACAACATTGGAAACCACGGCCTTTGGCTAAGTTCATAAATAAAGATACATCCAAGACATAGCCCGAATTCAACCGGTCAAACTCAGAAGCAGCACCCCTTTCAAGAGTAGGAAAACGGGATATTTGACGCTGGAAACGAAGCATATTCCATACTACAAAAAAGACTTCCTCTTAAATCATATAGCACTACTCAAACTGTCAAACTGGAAAATAGACCTTTGAACAATGCAAAGCTGGAAAACAAGTTCAATCCCTAGCCGTGGACATCCAAGACTTCGTCCAACTTCAACTAAACCCTAAACCCTGGACCCTAAGCGTGAAGCTTCCTGTTAGTTTGGTTTATCAATTGGCTGCTGGGGGGGTGTGACCATTAGCGTCTAACACTTAGTGTGGATTCAACCTACCACTGTATCTCTCCAGTCCGCTTCAGAGGCTTGTAATTATTCTCTGTCCTTTAAAGAGCGGGAATATGTGAATTTGACATTGGAAACGATTATACTTCATGCTGCATGTTGAATTGTTTCCTAATATATCAAAAAGCTCCAAGTGCACTGGAACACGCTACGTATACGTACTTTCTGTATCTGTACATAGGCCACATGCGCAGGTATAGAAGTCGTGTGCATCTCAAGGCAGTATGTCCAGATGCCGTATAACTCAAAAGCAGCCCTATGGAAGCAGCGATGCTGCAAAAACCTGCGTGGCTGAACAAGTGCTGTGCAAGGTGTGCTAGAGTATACTGCGCTATACTATACTATGCTATGCTATACTCTCTACTCTGCTCTACTATACTACACTTGTCTCTATCTATCTATCTATCTATCTATATATATATATATATATATATATATATATTGTATTTACCTATCTCCCAGGGTAGACTATACCTTACCATACTATACTGATTATACTATACCTCGGGTCCCGTCGTTTGCACCAGTGTGTTTTGGAACAGTGCGAAAAACATGGCAGGGCCGACGCTGTCGAATGGAAGCATTGTTCAACTTTCGCACCCGAGATTCGGTGTTGCGGGGCCAAAAACGCAAAAAACTCGATGTGCTGATTTTACGTTGATTTAGAGGGGGCAGTGGAGCGGCGGGACCGGGACCGGTTTATTCATGGATGCGCTGGCCAATGCTTGGGCTGGTAGCATGGACGTTATCATGGTTTGGTCGTGGATGCACCGGCCAATGAGTGGGCTGTTAGCATGAACTTTGTCATGGTTTGTGCAATGCAGACCTGAGCGGCAGAGCAAGCGGGGCAAACGAGGGTGATGGAGCCTTTACCTTGCTATACCGTGCTATACTATTTTTGACTACTCGATACTTTAGTTTACTTCGCTTTACGATACCAGACTAGACTATACCGTACTGTTATTATTACTCTTCGTCGTCCTATACTATGTATACAAATGCGTGTGTGTCTGAACAAGTGTGCAGTGCCACGGTTGAAATACACAAGAAATTCATCCCACACACGGCAGTCCCCTCTCAATCCATTCGCACGAAGACCAGCTTGGCACAGATCAGTTTCATCGATTGGTCTCCCGATTTCTACATGATCAAGCTGTTCTCCAGCTGCGCTACAAATCGCTCACGAATCCTCCATAACAACAGGTCCGAACTTTACATTCTGCAAGCGCATGCCGGATCATGATCGGCTTTCAAGCTTCGGCAAGAGTGCAAGACTGGTCAGCTGTACGGCGTTGCAACGCGATCTGCTGCCTGATCTGCCTCTCGACGCTTTTGGACCTTGGAGCAGATCTGAATGTACGACTTGTTTGTGGGTGGAGTGCTTGTGACTGTCTTGTTTACATTTCTTGGGCGCATGTGCCGCATGTCGTGTCTCCAGTCTCTGAAGCAAAGCCACTTGTGGATTGTCCGTCGTCCGGAAACATCTAAGCCGCAACGGTGACACACAACACACTTCTGCCAGTGTGGATGCCTCACATATTTCTACGCAGGCATGTGGAACACTTGGTTTTGGGTTTCAAGATGAGCAATCCGTGCATGAGTTGACGGGTTGTGTGTGAAGATGGCCACGGATCGGTCAGTGTACATGTTTGGGGTTGTGTTGCTCGGTCTCGAGCGCTTAGGAAGAAAGTTCGCTAAGGGAGTTGGGCACCGGAAATCTCAGAATCTGGGCACTGCAGATTGTCTGCTGGACGATGTTCTTGAGACCAGTATGACAGGTACTTGGCAGCAGTGACATATGAGATGAGTCAATGTAATGATAATGACGATTCTAGTCGTGTCGTCATGTAATTAGCTGTAACATGTAGGATTTCGCCATGAATTTCATGAAACTTCCAGACGGCAATTCTTAGCTTCTGGTACGATGCTCCATATGTGCCAGGATACTTGATGTGAGCATGAGGACCCTACGCTAACTTCCAATTCACTCCAAGCTGACTGCCTGGGCACAAGTCTCCGCGAACCGCAGCGTCTGCAATGATTCCTGTCAAACAAAAGCCCGAACAGCGTGCAAGGGTGACAATCAATCCGTGCTATCGGTTGCTTCCCGAGTACGAATCAGGCTGTCCTCGGCGTGGGCAGGATCCATAGTCGCGGTGGTGATTATCAAGGTTCGTGCCTATGAACACAGCAAGGCATGCAAATGTGGAGCGGAAGGATGGAGATGGCATGAGTGTTTTGCGACGAACTGGTCCTAACAGGGCTATGCGGCTATACAACGAACTTTGAGGCATCCGCCGAGCCGCCTAGAGCTTCCTGGAGCAGCATCCTGGCGCGGTCTTTCAAAGGAGGGCTATAATACATAGACCCTACTTCATGTGATGATGCGCACGCAAAACCAAGTTTGTCTGCGAACGTCGCATGTCTTCCTGCACGAGCTCTGAAGCGGCGGGGGCGGAAAAAAAGGAGGCGATGCGTTGAGTTTGAGCGCGACATGCGACGTCTCGCTTTGCCCTTCGATCTTGATCTCGCTCTCTGACTCAGACGATAGCGAAGCAACGGTGGCAGGAAGGCGTGAGCTTTGAGTCTTGATAGGGAACATATGGAAGCCTAGGTTGCGAGATGTTGCGAGCACCGATCGGAACATCTCTGAGATACCAAGTACCTTGAGTGCATGCTGCACGTGGCACAGCAATCTCTTCTTACGACTCATCTATGTTCACTCGCAAAAAGGCTCTGGCGCATGTGAAGGCACTCCTTCAGCAGCCATGCGAGAGCGCCTGCCACGGAACACAGGGTTCTGGCAGTTCCTACAGCATACCCACTGCCAACACCTCTGAGCGCCTTTTGTCTTCTGCGTGAACAAAGCAGCTGCCCCCGTCTGGCCTGTGGAGGACCTCGATGACTCTCTTGAGGGAGAAGAGGCCCTGCAATCGGGGACGGAACTGACCGGCAGACATGAATGCATGTGACAGCTCGTGCGCACTGTGCTGGGCTGGTAGCTCTGCTTGGCCAAAGCGCCGACCTTGTTGATGTTCATTGTTTCCTGGAGCCTCTGACGATGGAGATAGAACTCTTGCCAGGAGATGCGGCTCCTGCCATGTGAAACACCGACGAAACCTAATCGTAAGTGCAGAGCACCGCGTGGATTGCGATGCTTGGCTGAGATGGGTTCAGTCTGCCGCACTACGCAGAAGAGGCCGGCGTTGGAGGTTGAAATTCAAGCTGTATGTACTTCAGATATGCCTACTGTATGTTGATTCTCTACTCACTTCTAACTTCTGCTGTTCTCAGTTGTCTTGGCGAACAGGACGAACTAACCACAAACAGCTGCTCCCGCCAGAAGCGGGCCAGCGCGAGACAAGTCGATCCGTCGCTCTGACTTCTCCTTTGGCATTGTGAATCTTGTGAATGCCACCGCCTGGTATTTCTGCAACGTCAGTCGAATGCGTCTACTGCGACATTCAAGTTGGACGGGGAACGGGCAGGTGATTGTTGAAAGAGAAGGACCTGCCCTCTCAGGCTACAGGGATCTCCAGAAAAAAGCGAGTACCACGGAGTATCGACCAGCAGCCCCTTCATCCCGAGAGCAATTCGCGGGAGGTACTGCTCCTCACCGCCGACCACCGTCACAGGCGCCTCTGCGGCTCGAACCAAATCTTCACAACCCGAGCCCGAACTCGCTTTCAGCAATGTGATCGTCAGACTTGGTCAGCTATCAGCCAGAATTGGGCTCGTAATGAAAGTACAGGACTCTAGCGCTGCTGAATATAGTCTAGCGCACCCACACCAGCTTACACGACCTTCGCTGAGCTTGGCGTGGCTCCATGTCTACGGTACCTTCTGCGAAACTCATGTTGCGGTACACCGAAAGGTTGACCAAACCAACCACGGGAGACAGCAAATCTGCACATACCCTACACCCGTTCCGGACAAGAGCCTCTTTGTAATGCATCCCATGGCGCAAGCTGCATCAAGACGTCATCGAGGGTGCCCGGCCTTAGCCGATTCCACCTTGCTCTTTGCCAGCTGCTCGGATCCACCAAGGTCAGCAAAGTAGAAACGACTCCTGCTTCGGCTCTACTCTCAATCGTGGGGCATCGTTGGGCTTACCCCGCGGTGCCCTGCACAGGTCGCAAACAAGTAGATGGAACTGGTGTCAAGAAGTGCTACGCACATCACCAGCATGTGGCCGAGGCAAACGCACGGGAATTCAGTTTTTGATGACGCCGCCTACATTCAGGACTTTACAGTGCATGCTTGTGCTTGGAAGAAGGCAGACTTCTGTAACATTACGGGAACCGAAACGATCGACCACGTGATTCTCAAATCTGCGTTGCCACAATGATCGCCTCCGAGCAGGCAGCTGCAGGTCACCTTGCAAGGCTACGTGAAACTAGTCAGGAACCTCTTCTCATTCCATTTGCTCGGCCTGTTTGCTTAATGAATCAACTCTTGTTTCCGTGGTCAGTGGGGCTGGGCCAGTCTCCCGGATTCCCACCGTTCTCTGCCTTCGCAGGACTGTCGCCGTCGTCTCTGCACCGACAGGGACAGGACAAACACGGTGTGTGCTCGAGTGGACCTGCACAGGTGTGACGACACTCACTCACTCCTCGCTGCAGCTTCCACACCGATCCGGTGCTTTTGTTTGCTAGTTTGTCTGCGCCCTTTTCGACGAGGTGTTTGTTTTGGCCTATTCCATGCAACGTGGTCGCGTGCAGCCGCGTGCAGCCTCAAGAGCTCTCTCCTGTTTTGACTTGCAGGATCTCCAGAAATCCGAAGAAGCGACCCTGAGTTTGAGAATCTTGAAATCTGTGTCAACTGCCTCTCGTTCATGGCGGTGGCAGCACGGCGCTTGGCCACTTCACCGTGTTGCAGCAGCTCGTAGACCTCCTCCAGAGACCTGAGTACGAGAGTGGGAGCAGGTGTGTTCAGGAGGAACGGAGAGCGGAAAGAGAGAAAGAATGAGATACCCAGAAGATGGCAAGAGAGCGACGGAAAGTCACGAGCGCGAGAACCTGTCGAAAGCCAGTACAAGGAGGAGAGATGGGATTCTGCGGATTCTGGTGGTTATTGATCGGTCCCTCCTGATATATACGTCATGTTGCAGTTGGTTGCCAGGAATGCAACAGCTAACAGCACTGGCTGAGACTTCCGCTCGATGTGGTACTCTGTGTGCCCGTCTAAGACATACCTGTGGTTGAGGGTACGGTATCCATTCTTCTTGCCCTCAAATCCAGCTCAAGCGCATCTCTGGCCAAACCGTTCAATGAGCCAACTCCCACGCCTTTGTCAATGCGACCCATCGTTTCAGCTGCAGTGGACAACAGACATTCTGAGGCGAACGTTCGGTTGACCCTGAGAGCGATGAATCTCACTGTACCGGGAATGACATTCTACAGCTGGAAGACGAGCACCACAATGGGTTTGGGAAACCTCTTACACGCAGATCGAAGATCGCTTAAGGAAATCTACAGCAAACATTCGCAGTAGCAACGGGGCAAGAAGCTCTCAACATGCAACGACCAACGCGTGCTCTGACGTGAGATCTTTCCTCCCGCATCATGCAGCGCCTGTGTCCGACGCGGTCCGTAGCACGAACTGCTGCATAACGGCCTTGTCTGCCTTGTCCCACCACCTGAAGCCAATGCGAGTTGGGCTTCACATCGATCAATGCAGCTGAACAACTTGCTGGCTTCGACCACTGCCTGCCCGATCAACTAATACCGGGTCCTATGAAGATTCGCCGAGAGAGAGAGAGAGAGAGAGAGAGAGAGAGAGAGAGAGAGAGACAGAGGGAGTTCGGTCCGGCCGACCGGGGACACAAGATACACAAGGTGTAAACACAGTGCTTTCCGAGTATTGAAGATGTGGAAGAATAATGAAACTCGGCTGGAATCTTATCTCGACTGCTTGGTAGTGTTGAGAATCTGATTTCCATAAAGCCTAGGCAGTCGAAGGAGCGCCGAAGACGCATCAAAACCTCCCTCGACAGCGATTTATCGTCTAGTGTTGGACAGCTCTGCCTGGCCATCCCGCAGGAGGTCCGAGACCTGGCACACTCGGCGCACGTTCACTTCGTGCGCTGTCGGGTAGTCCATGGTAGTCCTCAAATGGGCTCTCTGCCCGAATACCTAAACTAAGGAGCCCAACGACCTGAAGACTGTCCCTGCTCCCTTGGCGCTGACCCATCTGGCCTCGCTGCCGAAGAGCTCGACATAGCTTGCAGACAGGTGGACCTGGTCTAGTGCCAGAGCGAAAAACGCAGTTGCATGTCGGCTTGGCATGGCCCGCCATTGAGTATGTGGGTGTATCTCTCCGCTGTTTTCACTTTACACAGGCCCAAGGCTGCCGGTTGCCTCAATGCCTCGCTGGCGCCAGATCTCCACGGTCCGCAAAACCTCCCGGGCTTTGACTTTGAAGCAGAGAAGAACCCTACTAGTAATTGAAGACAGAAGCTCCACCTGGAAGAAACCTGAACGAAAATGCTCTCGGGACCTACGCAAAAGCGGAATTTTTCAAGCACGAACTCGTTGGCGGTACTCTTTAACTCGCTAAAGATGCCCCATCCGAACTAGCCACGCTTCTCCATACCACACTCGGCAAGCTCGCCGCGACTATTTCTCAAGAAAACCTTGACCAGCATGACTCGCATCATCCAAGCTTAGATTGTCGATCTCGTTTTTGCTCGCCGGCACCTCAGCGCAGGTCCTGGGCACCAAACCTCAGCTTCTTCTCGGTTGCCGTACAGCCGGCCTGTGGGTGACGCACTTACTGCGTCCGTCTGACTTGCTTTCCCTGGAGCCACTACTCCCAGGACTTGTCCCAACCATGCTATTCTCAGATGGAAGCCCTGCAGTTCCGGTGATGTCGTCGCCAAGCCCTTCTGTGGCCTGGCAATTGTATTATATATATATATATACCTATATACATATGAATCTAGGAAGACATATATACATTTTTGTCGCGGTGTCTCTCTCTCTCTCTTTCTTTCACGAGGGTGAAGGCAAGGCCCTGGCGCTCAGCGCCCCCCCACTGGTTTGGGGAGCTTGGTGAGACACTCAGGACACGGCAGACTGGGCGGCTCACCATTACAAAGTACAAGCTCTGAAAAAACTTAAGTTCAAAGTACCAGGAGCCACTCTGTCTTTGTGTTTGGCTTCGGACTACACGTGCTGTGCCTGTTGACATTCAGGGGAAACAGCGTAGGAGTCAACAGAGTTGGACCATAAAACAACTTATCTCTCTCTGTCTCTCTCTCTGGGAGGTTATGGCAGGGGGATGTGACAGCGAGACTGAATTTCAGGGCCTTTTACGCGAGTGTCATGCACTTTACCGTACTGTAGCAGGAAGGGAAGGGCGTGCACACACACACACACACACACACTCTCTCGCTCTTTCGCTCTCTCGCTCTCTCGCTCTCTCGCTCTCTCTCTCTCTCTCTCTCTCCCTCTCTCTCTGTCTGTCTTTATGTCTAGTTTGTTTGACCTTTACCTGCGTTCCATCATGTAAGCCCTGTTGGGCTGCAGTCGGCGGCAGCAATGCGGGCCTCCTCGGACAAGGGAGAACGCAGTGGTGCGTGGCTGCGTCCCCAACTAGGGTTCTGCTGTGGTGGCGGGCCTTCCGGTTCTGCTGGACGCTTTGCTCCCCGTGTGTTAGCTGGTGGCTCTGGTGTTGCTGTGTCATCCCCGCTCGCATAAGTGTCCTCGTCTTGGCTGTTGCGGTTCCAGTCGGGTACTTCCAGGAGGTGGCGTACAACTCGTTGATCATCTCGGGTTCGGGCTTTCTCTCTCTCTCTCTTTCTCTCTCTCTCTCTCTCTCTCTCTCTCTCCCTCGCTTGCTTGCTTGCACAGCGTTTGGGTTGGAAGCTGAGAACCCCCAAACCCTGCGCGTCAGCGCTACGCTGATTGTCCTGGTCTGGTCTGGTGGTGAAGCCTGGGGGTGGAGCGACTAAGCTGGACCAGCAAGCCGGTTTGTCCCGTGCAACAGGCCCCCCAGTTGGCAATCCCGCCTGGTTCAGCTCGCGTGCTCCGACCTCCACTCTTTTCGTGTCAACCATTTCACTCGCTTGGAGCTCTTTGTTTCGGGCACGCGAGCGTGTGTTTGAGCTGCGGGCCCGGACAACATCAGATACGCAGTTAGTACAATGGTAGTACAGTAGTAGTAGTAGTAGTAGCAGCAGTAGTAGTAGTAGTAGTTGTAGTAGTAGTAGCAGCAGCAGTAGTAGTAGTAGTAGTAGCAGTAGCAGCAGTAGTAGTAGTAGTAGTAGTAGCAGCAGTAGTAGTAGTAGTAGTAGTAGCTGGATTGTGCCCGCTTGTAGTACAACTCTAGTACTGGAAATGTCTCGTTTCGGCTCCTGGCTGGATTGTGCTCGCTTGTAGTACAAATTTAGTACTGGAAATACCTGGCTTCGGCTCCTGGCTGGATTGTGCTCGCTGGTAGTACAACTTTAGTACTGGAAATGCCTCGTTTCGGCTCCTGGCTGGATTATGCTCGCTTGTAGTACAACTTTAGTACTGGAAATGACTCGTTTCGGCTCCTGGCTGGATTGTGCTCGCTTGTAGTACAACTTTAGTACTGGAAATGCCTCGTTTCGGCTCCTGGCTGGATTGTGCTCGCTTGTAGTACAACTTTAGTACTGGAAATGCCTCATTTCGGCTCCTGGCTGGACGGTGCTCGCTTGTAGTACAACTTTAGTAGTGGAAATGCCTCGTTTCGGCTCCTGGCTGGATTGTGCTCGCTTGTAGTACAACTTTAGTACTGGAAATGCCTCGTTTCGGCTCCTGGCTGGATTGTGCTCGCTTGTAGTACAACATAGTACAACTTTAGTACTGGAAATGCCTTGTTTCGGCTCCTGGCTGGATTGTGCTCGCTTGTAGTACAACTTTAGTACTGGAAATGCGTTATTTCGGCTCCGGGCTGGATTGTGCTCGCTTGTTGTACAAAATGACGTTATCGTTTTTTTCTCCTTATCGTTTTGCAAGTCAAACGCATCGTCGCGAACACTGCGGGCAAGTGCTTACATAAATCGACCACGCGGGGTTATTATACAACCCCATCTGCACACACATAAGATGGAACTGCAACGTAGTTTGGCCCCTTGCTCAACTCCTATGGTACAGTTGCTTGTCCCTGCTACTTTGGTCATGCATGCGTCCTCCAAGGATGAACGACGCCGTGTCTGCCACTGGCGGGTTGCGTCCCCAGCAGGGGCCCGTGCGTTGCCGGAGGTACCACGGTGTGGTGGGGTGTCGTTTGTGGGAGTGCAATCTCGTCCGTGTCAGTCCGCGACAGCTGGGCCGGCTGCGTGTCCCCCAGGTTGAGCAGGTCAGTGCTGGCCAGGGTGACGTCTTCAGCCTGTGCTGTCTGGGGCACCGTGGAGCTTGTGGCTGGTGTCTGTGACAGGTCGCTTGGCGGCGGTTGCGTTTGCTTGCTGATCACGCCCGAATCGGTGTTTCCTGCGTCGGTCTCCCAGTCGCACGGGGTGCAAACCAGTCCAGTGCTGGCGTGCATGTGGGCGTGGCCCGCCAAGGGTCGTTCTGCTGGGTCGGCTTTTTTAGGTGGGTGGGCTCGCCGCACTGGTCCCCGATCGATCGTGCAGTAGAGTATAGCAGAGGTCGATGCCGGGCTCAACAAACTCCCTGGCGGTCCTGCCGCGGGTGTCCTCTAAGGGTTGAACTTGCGGCGGATCGTGTAGCCGAAAAGGAGGTCGTGTAGTCCCCGGTGGCTGTACAGGTCGAGCTGGGTCGGTGTTGTCCCGGTTGTAGGGTTGGGTTGGGCGTTCACGTCGTCGCTGATACACAGTGGGGCCACAACGAAAGATCGAAGGTCTGTGT